GTCGTTGTTCCACTGTTTACCGTTCTAAGATGGTGATTGGCGATCTTGAACACTAAACCGGTGGCGTGGAAAATGTCTAACAGCTCTGCTACATGAACCGACCACCGGTCCATTTGTCCCACCTGGAAATGAAGTACAGTACGTCCCGAAACTGGAGCCACCACCTACACTCTTATCGATTAGCCAATCCCAATGCCAAGATATATCAATATTAATGGGCAACCGCTCCGAAATAGTTAACTATCACAGGCCCTCAGCTAGCGGTAAGGAGAACAATCCTGTATGCGTTTACCATAGAAATTATTCTCATAGGAAAGATACAAATATCCCCTTGGTAATTTGGTGTCGGCCAGAGCAAGAATACGCCATTGAGGTCTCTTATTGGGACGTTGTTTTAAATTAAATCCGGATTGCGAAATGGAAAAAAAATATGAGGGATCTTCACCTTGAGGCTTCAACATTGAGGAAAATCTCCTTCAGAATCTAGAGATCGTGTCTCTTTCTTTTGATTTTGAAAATGTGGAAGATTCAAATGCTCTAGAAACCTAATGCTCGAGCTAGGGTATCTTGATTGAGCGAATGGCATCGCAGTAAGACCTTTCGAGCCTCTTGGATTGGCCCTTTACCTGATTGCATCAGCAACTCGTTCTATGTTTGAGTAACGAAGCACCATCCTAATTCGACAGCACACTGTGGTCGATTTACGCAGAATTCAAAAGCCGAAACGGCGGGTTTTTTCTCCCTTCTTCGCAACATGAATTTGAGCAGCAAACGAGATTGGAACAACAGGGAGGGCATCTGAGGCCAGATACAGTTCCGACCTTAATTGATCCAGATCTGACCACATAGGCCATATGTCTCTTCTATTCCCTTCCTTCATCCCTTTCCACAGCAGTAAAATCCTAATACTGTCTTCCATTGATTCGCCAAAACATGTGCATACACTGTGTGCCTAATGGTATCTACTGCAAATTAAGTTACCGGGTGTAGAAGTGTAGATCTTACAATTAATTGGCTAGACATGATGCAATCTCAGGTCTACCTGCCAAATTAATTGAGTAACAAGATCGCCAAAGTGACTTTCATCATCATCACCCTTATTCTCCATTACTGAGATTAACTGCATCTGTAGCACCGGTACTTTGAGGCGAAAGGAAATTGAATCGTGGTTTAGCCGAAAGTCAAACACTAGAACAGTTTTGAAATCAAGGGTTCCATGCCGGCAATCTTCAGAGATACCACGCCCAAATAAAATTGAAGGCCAACTACTGCTTGCCAATTCACGTAGTGAGGATCGTTGTTAAATAAAGTATGCGGCCACTCTCGGGTTCCATTGCCCCTCGTTTGGTATCCTAGGGGCCGAGGTGCAAACCAGAAAAAGCCGAAATACCCCAATCTCCTCCTCCTCCCCAAGACTATACACGCCCGACTAAGACTGGGAAAATTCAATCATTTCAGCCGTGACAAATATCCCCAGAATCTCAAAGGTAAAGTGTATTATCGGCGGCATTGAACTATGTCAGAAATGTTAGAAGTCCAGGATTGTCGATTGTGCACTGGCAAGAATTCGGTCTATTGCATAAGAGATCTAGTGGCCGCTCGCAGGCATGGGGCATGTCTATCTCCGGACCCCAGTTGGTAATTGAAAATAATCCAAAGGGGTCTTTACAACTCGTGATCAATGCGGTGAGAAGATATCAGAAGGAATACTCAGAATTCACTACCAAAGATTCCCAGTCCAACTGCTAGATTAACAGCATTCCTTGTCCGCCACTAACTACAGCACCTATATGCTTAGCCCCACATATTCAAGTTTACCAAAAGAGGTCGAGGTTTATGTATCCGTCGACGATATACTCTGATTGGAGCTCGGATTTACGCGGTGACGTCGTCTAAACTCCGGCATCGCATTAAACATGGCGTTACCGGATATAACGGAATCTAATTACCCAAAGATGCTGTTATCCCCGTTTGATCCGGGATATAAATACTTTGGAAGGTATAAAAGAGTAAACGCACTACCTTGCGACACCTAGGATACCTACCGCAAGAAGAAGCAAGCCATCATCATGCCTCTTAACGTTCCCCCCGCCAACCGTCTTCTTGACCTTCTCAGCCTGAAAGATAGGGTTGTTATCATCACCGGCGCCGCAGGCCCTCAGGGAATCGGCATCGAGGCAGCCCGCGGCTGCGCAGAGATGGGCGCCAACGTTGCTATTACCTACACCTCGCGAAAGGACGAAGCCGACGCCAATATTATTGAACTGTCGAGCAACTACAATGTCAAAGCCAAAGCATACCACTGCGATATCTCCAACTTTGGCAGCGTCGAGCAGCTCGTTAAAGATGTGATCCGGGAGTTTGGCCAAGTCGACGCTTTCATTGCAAATGCCGGGGCTGTCCATCACAGTACCATGCTTGATGCTTCAAAGGAAGACTGGGACAGAATCATCAATATCAACCTTAACGGCACGGCATATTGTGCCCAAGTCATCGGGCCCTACTTTCGAGAACAGGGCTATGGCTCCTTCGTCATCAATGCCAGCATCGGTGGGCATATCGCCACTATGCCAGTTGAATTCGCAAGCTATAATGTTGCTAAGGCAGGTTGCGTTCACTTGGCCAAAATTCTGGCTAACGAGTGGCGTGGCTTTGCGAGGGTCAATAGCATCTCACCAGGATACATTGATACTGGCTTGGCTGGAGGCATTGGGGATGACCTTCTGGATGCTTGGAATAGCATGATTCCGATGGGCCGACAAGCGGACCCTAAGGAGTTGAAGGGGGCGTTTGTTTACCTCGTCAGTGATGCCAGTTCTTATACCACTGGGGCGGACATCCTCATCGATGGAGGGTATACTGTCCGATGATTGGATATCACCAAGTTCAATGATGTTGAGAATGTTGAGAAGGGCAAGTTTATAATTTTGAAGGATGGAGTTTAAGCCATGCAAAATGAATGTATTGTTGGAGATTAAGTACAGTACTGTATATAAACTTTACTTAGCCGACTTGGCCACGTTCTTGCTGTTAATGACTCTTCAACACAATGGGAACATCTTTTGTAAGTATTATTCAACACACTCTGTAGGGAACCTGTGAAACTTCGGCAAAGAGCCCATCATGTCTGGAATTAAGAGATATCCCGTCGTCATCATTCAATGGAGACAGACCGGAAAGGTTGAATTACGAAAGTCATGATCTCGGCCTACCGGGACATCTTCACCTTATAGCAGTCCCTCGACCCTCGTTATTTTCTCATTGCCCAGCTCAGGCTGCGTTGCGATATTCGAAGGTGAGGACGAATATATAACCGATTATTTCAACAGAAGACAGGCTATATCGCATATTTGTTGACGACCGCCACATACGAAGTATACGTCTGCGGCGAAGAAAACATTGGGACTGTTAAAATACGATTGACATGGAAACCTAGACCCGTCCACCCACAAGATCATTTAAGAGCTTCCAAGCTCCCACTGGTTGATGCATTCAGAATACATTGGAAATTATTGGCGTGGTCGACCTCCGGGGTCTTAGCTTCCAGACGTCTGAAATTGGACCACACATATTTTCATATTTTCTTTAGCTTAGCTGTGTCCTGGTAAGCCTATTCAGTAGTTTCCTTCGGTATATATAGCCATGTCCCGATGGTGCAGAATACCAACGGGTGGCGAAGTTATAGACCAAATTTAGTTCGCATTGCCTTTGCAAACTGTGCAATAGCCTCCGAGAATCTTTCCAACGATGCAGCTGCAAATGTTGCTCCAAAAAACATATTATCTTCCGCAGCCGCCCGATCCGCTTTTAACCAGCTGATAGAAATATGCTTTCTTCGATCGAATCAGGCAGAGTTCCATGAACAACGGATGGATGTTTTCGCCAATCGATCTCAATCCAATGCTTCTCAGATGTTAGTCCCGTCGAAAACCGAAAGTTTACATATCTTCCTCTCAATTTCGGTCCTAGGTCTGTCGCACATGAACAATCCGCTGTACGGCTTGGCATTAGCCTTTGTACATTTTTAGTGTGAAAACCCTTGTTGCTTCAGTCCGAATTTCCTCAACAACATACCAAGAACAGCGTTGCTGACGACATCGCTGCTGAACTAAATGGCAGTGGCTTGGTTGACATATTTGATGCTGTCATTTCCAAGAAAAGCTACACGATCGCCGGACAACTGCTCTAAAAGCTTGGCGGAGGGGCACTCGTTGGTACATTACCTCCTTTGGACATCTCTTTGCCCGAACATGTCCACAATAAGAATGGTACCACAATCCATCCAATATTTGCCAAATGCGTTATTGACTGAAGATTAGTGTTCGCTGTTTCAATTTCAACTGACGAGGTGGAGGTTGGCGAGACAGTATGACAAGATTATGTGCCTGACGCTCTCTTGTCTAGTCATTTGCAGGCCAAACCAGATCCTATTGTGATTATAGGAGGGTTGGAAAAAATACAAGAGGGCCTCGATCTTCAAAAGAAGGGCATCTCAGCCGGCAAGGTTGTCGTGTCCTCTTGACACACTGGTCCTTTTCTCCAGTATCCGAATGTACCAAATGACACGAGTATCTTTACCAGGAATTTTAACTATAAGTAAGCCAACGGCGGATGATGCTGCAAAACTTCCTTATCCATCAAATATATCATTATTTTAAGGGGATTATGTCGCGAGTTGAATTCTACGTAACAACTGCCGTTGAAGTAGACGAGCTCTGCACTCAGGTATGCCCGGGCCGAAGACTGATAAGAAGATCACCAGGAAAATATCTGTTTAGGAGCTCCGGCACATCGGCATGTGGATCAACTGGTTGAGAGTTAATTAAAAGGGGACTTTTGAAGTTCGGGATGCTTGAGAGACTAAGAACCCTACGTATCGAGACATTAGGTTATACATGGCAATTTGGATAAAATCATTTGCCTTTGGTACGTTCCTAAAAGTCCTTCGCGTGGAGTCTCACACTTTGACATACAAAACCCGCCATCCGAAAAAGCGCCAATTACTGGCCATTAGCGAACTGAATCCCCAAGGCACCGGTTGCAGTACTTCCACCATAAACCAATATTGGCTCTGCCGTCTTTACTGAGTCGGTTGGTATCGTCAGACTCAGTCCTTCGTACAAGCCCTGGCTGACCGCCGCGATACCAATACCTAGAGTAGCCGCCTGCTCGCAATTGATGTTGTCAAAATTCCGATCTGGATATCTCCCTTCACCACAATATGCTCGGCAAAGGTACCGCCTTCGTGTTGGAACGCGTTGGAACCATGTGCCATACCACATATTCTGCCCCCTATCTTGAGTGGCTTCGTAACCTTGGAGCCCACCTCTTCGACAATTCCTGCATAATCACAGCCAAGTAACGGCCCAGGTTGTTTCACGATAAGTCAATTTGCTTCCAATCAGTAGGATTCAGACCCACAGCTATTGTTTTGACAAGAATATAATCATCACGGAGTTTCGGGATCCGACGATCATGAACTAGTCTGGCCAATTTAGGCTCTTGGATAACGACGGCACGTTGAGTTATGGGCATATTCATTGATGTGATTGGACAGTACGAGAATATAAATTAATTATGAAGCAAATCTGCAACAGGGCTGCCATATATGACGTTTATGGTGGGCAACACGACGGGATTACAGTTCGGCAAGTGATGAGGTCATTATGCGGTAGCGTATCCGAAAGGCCCGCCAGCGCATGCAATTGCCGAAGTTTAATTTGACTTCGGAGCATGGCACGCACGTGATTCGTAATCCTTGGCGGACGGATACTCGGTTATAAACTACACAAGTAATCCATTCGACTAATGATAGCATCCTTACTGTTCACCCTGTGTGTAATAGTATGGGTGGATATGTCGAGAACAGTTGAATTGAAAGAATTTAGTTGACAATAGATTCCAGGACCAATATTTTCCCAAGTTTCAGTCTAAGATCCGCTATAGTAGTCCAACATTTCATGCCCACCAAGAAAACGGCACTGCTCTGCCCGTATCCCACTCAATTCGTGTCTCTGGTATCCAAAAGCTGGCTTATTGTGTCAACCACCATTTTTTCAACTGGGATCCAGGGGCCAAGGTTCAGGATCCTGAGACTTTTCGAGGAGTCCACTTGGTAATATTGCACCTAGATAAGGCTAGTTAGCAAGATAAATTTGACCCAGTAAATTCTACGCTTACATCGCTCTGCTGCTCCGTCGACGGTTGGAGCTGAGGAAAATGCTTTCGAGCGATCTCCGCAATCTACAATACCAAAATCTATAGTCAGCATCCGGAATATACCAGGAGAGGACGAATATGGATCTTCACTCACGTCAGAGTATGTTACCCCCCGAGTAGCAAGGATGAATCGTTTCCCATCAGCCTCCGGATGGAGCAGCGCCTGGACATGGACTTTCGCGACATCTCGCACGTCAACCCAATAGGGATAGTCAACCGGTGGTAGGCACTCTTCGGTGACAGCCTTCCAAAGGACTTGCACACTGAGACTACCGGACTGAGTCCCTCGTTGTAACGGCAGAACAGATGGGCCACCAATGTAAGCTGGCAGGACGACGCTTATGTCAAACCGAGGCTTGATGGTGTCTCGCGCTTTCCAAACAGCCTCCTCCGCAAGTTTCTTAGATGCCATGTAGGTAATCAATGGCCGCCAGATTGGCTCCCACCGCGTCAAGTCCAGCTCTTGGGAGCTTGCTTCGCTGTAGGATATCGGATTCCAATCATCCGGCGTGTATGTGTAGCCGGGGCGGAGGCTATGGGCCGGGTCAAAGGCCGATAGAAACGAGCCAGTGATTACCATTGATCGAACAGATGGGAACTTCACGGCTGCCCGAATAATCCCGACTGTTCCTTCTATGGCTGGCTTCAGCAGATCGGCCTCGACATTGTCAATACCGAGAGCCAAAGGGGAGGCCACATGAGCCACATGGGTAACGCCTTTCAAAGCCTCGTCAAAGGCGCCCTCCGCCACAATGTCTGGTACCAACACTACGGAGAGACGCCCCGAGGATAGATCTGGAGCGAAATAGTCTTTGATCTGTTTCGCCGATGCTTCGGAACGCACGGTTGCGCGAACGCGAGGTTGTCCTTGCTGGCGTAGCAACTGGTCTACCACATGTTGCGCAACATAACCATTCCCGCCGGTGACGAGAATAAGGTCGGTCGAGATGAAACTAGACATATTCGTTGGAGAGCAGAGATATAAGATGTTTGCTTCCGGTGCGGGTCAAGTACTTGAAAATGGTCGACTCTAGGGCTCTAAGATATTTTGAAAATTAGGCAAGTTCCATTATACATAATTATGTGTATGACGCTTCGTCTCTAAGCTCCGGTAAACTCCGGTAATGACAGTCAATGTCACCCCGGGAGGAGAACATACGGAAAGTGTGGTTCAATCTGATGATCGGCCCTTCTCGAACGTTGCCACCCGGGCGAGGAAGGTTTATTCAGCTGAGCGGGACGCGATATCCGCACGATATCTCTTTGTTCCATTTCGACACACATGGCTATCTTCGCTAAGTCAATGGAATTAAAGTGGCCATTTCAGTCGCTATCTCCGAGCTATTTTCGCACTCCATGTGGAGACACAGAGCTATCCTCGAGTCAATGGCATTGAAATTAGTCATTCCATTCCCGATCTCCGCGCTATGCCCGCGCTATTTCCGTATTTCATGTGACAAACAGGATTATCGCTGCGTCAACTCAATGGAACCGAAATCAGTCATTCCAGACCGCTATGAGAAATACCATCCCTTTTCCGTATCGCTGCAGATTTAGAGTTTCGAGGCATGCTTTTTGAGGGAATAAACTCAATTACTAGTCGCTGAAAGACCATGGTTGATTTAGTAGTTCGGCATTTTTTTATCTCCTGCTCACGGCATCAATACCCTTAAATCCGACAAACGACCACCATAGTATAAGTCCGTACGAAGTAACTACTAACTGCAACCGACTAATATGCCGTATGAGCCGATGCCTTGTTAGATTTCCATATGGAGAATAATTGCAATACATACAGTTTGCTTAGCAATGGACTTAAAATGAGCCCACAAATGCAATACTAAAATCCTGTTTATAGGTCACATCGTATTTGTAAGCTCTGGGAGATGAAGGATGCCCTCTCCTTATAAAAGAATTATAATACCCATTCAGTTCAACAATTTTCCTCCTTCGACTTGGACTTTTCCGTGTCTCACATAATCCTTCCATCTTCTCGCTATCAATCATCTTCAAAACATAGCGAAAGGATCTAATAGACATGAGGGATATCTTGAGAGAAGCCCCTTTGGGTCAACTCATTCGATTGGTCACTCGCAATACAGTCCTGCTCTATCCTGAGGAGTTTCCTGATTTCAAATTCCCAGCGACATACAATGCTGTTCTCAACTTGCCGGAAAAAGAGCGCGAACCCGTTGCTACCACGAAACCCACCAATGAACAAACACCACCATCGAACCCAGCAAGTAGCGAAAGTACATTTGCACCTCCGGAGACTCTTGAACGCGAGGAGGAAAACATCGAGCAACAACACCTACGCGATCATGATCTAGAAGGTTTGCATCTTAGCCGGACGAGGAGTCGACTAGAAACTGTCCCCTACTCTGAAGAACGATTGGAAATCGAAGCGACTCTTGCCCTTGAAAGGACACAGACGAGACCAATTGCCCCACAAAGGACAGCCGACGGCAACGTCCTCGTGGATTGGTATACCACTGATGATCCAGCAAACCCTCAGAACTGGTCCAACGCAAAACGATTCATTGTCTCCTTAATAATTTGCTTGTACACCTTCGTCGTCTACACTGGCTCCGCGATCTACACCTCGAGTGCGCAGGGCGTGATGGAAAGGTTCAATGTTGGACCAACAGCCGCATCGCTCCCGCTTTCCCTCTATGTCCTAGCCTACGGTATTGGGCCTCTGCTCTGGGCTCCTCTATCGGAGATTCCAGTCATCGGGAGATCTCCAGTCTACGCCGTAACAATGGCGCTATTTACTATCCTTTCCCTTCCCACCGCGCTTGTTGATAACTTCGCTGGCCTTCTGGTTCTGCGGTTCCTCCAAGGGTTCTTCGGGAGTCCTTGCCTGGCAATCGGGCCAGCCACGATGCAAGATATGTACTCTCTTCTCTACCTACCATATGCACTGTGAGTATTGATTCTCGGCAAGTAAAGAATATTGGCTTACGGATAAGTAGTACTGCTTGGGTCTCGGCGGCATACTGTGGGCCCTCTATTGGTCCCCTCCTCTCTGGATTTGCAGTGCCCGCCATGGGATGGCGGTGGTCACTGTGGGAAATCCTCTTGGTAGCCGGACCCATCTTCCTCGCCATGTTCATGCTCCTTCCTGAAACCTCTACCCCTAACATCCTCCTGCGTCGTGCCCACCGACTGCGAAAAGTAACAGGCGACAAGCGACTCCAAGCACAGTGTGAAATCGACCAGGAAAACCTCCGGCCTTCTGCTATCCTCCTGGATGCTATCATCAAGCCGATGGAGATTACCATTAAGGACCCAGCAATCGCATTCGTGAACCTGTATATGGCTCTGGTTTACGGCATTTACTACAGTTTCTTCGAGGTGTTTCCTCTAGTTTATCCCGTCTACTATGGGTTCTCGCTCGGCATGATTGGTGTCGTCTTCACCTGCGTACTCGTTGCCTGCCTAATTGGCATTGCTATCTACTGCCTGTACCTTCAGTTCATACTCATCCCCGATATCATTGCGCACGGTCTGCGCGCGCAGGAGTCCCGCCTGGTGCCTGCTCTCTTCGCCTGCTTTGGCCCTACAATCGGGCTCTTCATCTTCGGCTGGACCGCTCGCGCCAGCATCCACTGGATCGTGCCAACCATCGGCATCACTGTCTACGCTGCCAGCGTCTTCATCATCATGCAGTGTATCTTTGTCTACGTTCCTCTCTCGTACCCTCAATACGCTGCGTCTTTGTTCGCTGCGAATGACTTCTTGAGGAGTGCCCTGGCTTGTGGAAGTATCTTGTTCGCGAGACCACTGTTCATCAATCTTGGTGTAGCTAAGGGTGTCAGTGTCTTAGGTGGCTTAAGTGTGATTGGGATTTTTGGCATGTTTGGCCTCTGGACCTTCGGCGCGAAGTTGAGAGCGAGATCAAAGTTTGCTATTGTGTGACTTCAAAAGGAACGCAAATAAATGAGTGGTATAAATAGAAATCATTTCATGCGTAGTGGTCACAAACGGGCCGCCGGCCACTTTGATGCAGTTTATGCTCCATAATCGTTTTCTAAATCATGATATTCTGTTCTATATTCAGTGCACCCCCCCCCCCCACAATTCTTTCGTTGGCTGTATAATAGTTTCGAACAGTAGAACAGTTATAACGGACAATCACCTCGAGCGCAGTTCCTTGTTTGTTTAGCCCAGGTTCTGAGACTCAACGAGCAGCAACAGGGATACCAACTACGACAGTACATGGAGCACGGTACCTTGTTTGCTGAGAAGCCTCGATTCATATCGAAGACGCCAGCGAACTGACCTTCTGGTCGCTGAGCCACCCGGGGAGAAACTCCACTATGGACCAAGCCGTGACGAACAGACCCTACCTACTCACGAAATGCCATCTTTATCACGACAACTATGGGTCAGACCACCGTGCCACCTACTCGGAATGGAGCCTCCGGACGCGGTGCAACTCCGCCGCCAAAGCGGAGGAGAACGTATAGAAAGGTTCGGCCCTTCTCGAACGTTGCCACCCCGGCGAGGAAGGTTTATTAAGCTGAGCAGGACGCGATATCCGCACGATATCTCTTTGTTCCATTTCGACACACATGGCTATCTTCGCTAAGTCAATGGAATTAAAGTGGCCATTTCAGTCGCTATCTCCGAGCTATTTTCGCACTCCATGTGGAGACACAGAGCTATCCTCGAGTCAATGGCATTGAAATTAGTCATTCCATTCCCGATCTCCGCGCTATGCCCGCGCTATTTCCGTATTTCATGTGACAAACAGGATTATCGCTGCGTCAACTCAATGGAACCGAAATCAGTCATTCCAGACCGCTATGAGAAATACCATCCCTTTTCCGTATCGCTGCAGATTTAGAGTTTCGAGGCATGCTTTTTAACTTAATTATTAGCAGGTATACAATATATATTAACAGCAGATTTCATATTGGGCCATCTGGTCGGGTAATGAATACACAAATATTGATACTGCACCGCGGTGGCGTCAACCTTTGGCTTCGCACCGTTGGCAGTTCAGCAGAGGTCATTGACTTCTCAACGGCTTTGACTCACTCGTATTGTTTACAAATATCGCGGCAAGGAGGGCGATCCATGAAATAACCGTGATAGTCACTCAGTCCGGATCGCCCGCCCAGCCCAACATTCCTCCTTACATAAATCCGTGCAGTCTGCGGCCATCAGATCAACAATCATGGCGACTACAACGAGGCCATATTCTGGCAAGAATGAGGATGACCCTGCATCCCCGAATGACGTCAAGTATTCGCATGATGAAGCTGACCACTCCTATGACGCCTCTTACCATGATGGCTCCCCTGCTGGAGGCCCTAATTCACTGCCCATGCAGAAAAGGCGGCGAGTTGGCCGGGCATGTGACGAGTGTCGCAGAAAAAGATCAAGTGCGACGGCAAGCAGCCGTGCACCCATTGCGCAGTTCATAGTTATCGTACGCCTGGCTCTTTTGTGCGCTTGATAATGCAAGAAATCGTTCGTGGCCTAACAGTCATTCTGTAGAATGTTCCTCTGCCCAGCCCTCCAAACGCCGTCGAAACCCTGCCCCGCAATATGTCGCGGCCCTCGAAAATCGCCTATCCAAGGCCGAAGCCCTGCTCCGCACAGTGCTTCCCAACGCCGAACATGATGACCCGCAACTCGACGTGTACGCGAAAGAACAGCGATGGACCCCCGCTCAAAAGGAAACGCAAGCGACTGAAAGCGCCAAACCGTTGAGCGTACAACCGGACCCAGCGCCAGAAGCCGGAGATGAGGGATTACTCGAGACAATGGTCGATAACTCGGGTTGCTTAGATCGTGATGACCAGGGTCATTTTGATTATCATGGACACACGTCGGGAATGACTTTTGTTCGTCGATTACGCAAACAGCTCGGCACCGCAGAGATTAGGCCCTCGATTTCGGCGCATATGCTGGATAGCCCGAAGTCCATTTCTGAATCGCCCCAGGTTACCACCTTGCCTCATACACATGAACTGCCTCCTCGAAGGATAGCTCGCCAATTGTGTCATAATGCGATTGACCATGCCTGCTCCTTGATGAGATTTGTGCACGAGCCCTCGTTTTTCGCAAGTCTCGAGCGCATCTACGACACCCCTCCGGAGCAATTCACAGACGAGGAGAACTCCTTCCTGCCGCTTTTGTATATCGTCATTGCTGTTGGGTGCTTGTTCTCTGATGATGGAGCCGGAACCCTAGATTGTTCTGGCTACGAGGGCACAATAGGCCAAGGGTATGTTTCCTTATTGATCTGTCATTGATCATGGCCAACAACTCATCCCCTTTTACAGGTTCCAATTTTTCAAGGCTGGGCGACAATTGCTGGAGGTTACTGACTGCCGTGACTTGCTTTCTCTCCAAGCAATTTGTTTCATGGTGCTTTTCCTTCAATCTTCTACCAAGTTGAGCACATGTTATTCCTACGTGAGAATTGCGCTTCGTTCAGCACTGCGATTGGGTCTCCATCGCACCGTCACGGCAGACTTCAAGCCTGTTGAGCGTGAACTTCGGAAGCGCATATTTTGGGTCGTCCGCAATATGGATGTTTACGTGAGCACCCTCCTGGGTCTCCCTCAAATGCTAAGTGACGACGACATTGACCAGGAGTACCCGATGGAGGTTGATTGGGATTTCATTACCACAGAGGGAATCACGAAACCGCCGTCTCACTACACACCGCTAATGGCTGGGTGCAATGCGCACATACGCCTTTCCAATATCATTCTGAAGGTGGTTAAATATATCTATCCCGCCAAGAATGCTCGCTATCGCTCCAAGTCAGACCAGCGATATATGGTCAGCCATTCTAAAGTCCGGGAGATTGAGCGGGATCTGCAAAATTGGATGGAGGAATTGCCTCCGGCTCTGCGGCCGGGTACAGAAGTGTCGCCCCAATTGGAACGGTCAGTCCCAACGGTACTCGTGTCGTACCTAAAGAATTTCGACTAACATTCCTTAGGGTTAGGCAATTATTGCGTATCAGTTATGCCCATGTGCAGATGGCCATGTACCGTCCTTTCCTTCGCTACGTCTCCGGTGGTTCTCAAGCCCGTAGCGTGGATAAGCGATCCTATGCCTGCGCAGCGGCTTGTGTCAGTGTCTCTCGAAACATCGTTCACATCACGACCGGCATGCAAAAGAGAGGCTTGCTTAATGGACCGTTCTGGTTCACCATGTATACGACCTATTTTGCTATTCTTTCTTTGATCTTCTTTGTAATTGAAAACCCCCATTCACCGACGACCAAAAATGGTGCCCTGAAAGATGCCGTGGAGGGCAAGAACACCTTGGCCGGTTTGGCCAAGAAGAGTTTGGTTGCCGACCGGTGTTTGCAGAGCTTAAACGTATGTGTTTCCCATGATAAATTTTGAATGACCATGACTGATTAGACTGCAGTGCCTCTTCAGGACTTTGCCTGGGATATTGAGGAATAGCCAGAGCTCTAATACGCCGGTCAATCTCAAGCGACCCGCGCAATCTAACCGCGCTGCCGATCCTAAGCATACCCACGCTTCATTCGAGAAAATATTGCCACATCGTTCAAACACCTTCCCAACGCCCGTAATGTCCCAGCCTTCCACACCCGATCCTTTGAATCCTTGGCAACAAAGCCTGTACAAGACAAAGGCCGCCAACAACCGGACCAGTGATATTAGTAGCCAGCCAACATGGATTTCAAACATACCCGAGCTACTGAAGGAAACCATGTCGACTCCAGAACAGATCTCTTCAGTAGGCTCCATGAACCCGTCTCTGTCCAACCAGGAGCCATCGAGCTTGGCATGGACTAAGCAATTCACCAACCCGGCCAAGCTCCAAGACCTTATGCCAATGATGCTCCCGTCCGACAACCCATTCGCTTTATCCACCCAGCTCATGTCTACATTGGAAGATGACCACTTCCAACATGACCACGGAATGCCCTCCTCGGGATATCCTTTCGACTCAACACCGCAGCCAACAGGCATGGGACCAACTACACCAGGCGACTTGTCCAGCGTTGGAGTCACTATCCCAAACTTGTACTTTAACAGTATCCCGTATTTCCCCGTCGAAAATCCCTCGGCGATCAAGTCATCAGTGCCAAGCCATTTCCACGCCTCTGATCCCCGAAGCTTGTCACGGATTCACTCCCCAATCTTGCTGGGCCATACCCCAACCGAGCCACTCAGCATTCCGGACTTGGTCTCGATACCGAACCAGAACGTTTGGCACGGATACAATCTCCAGTCGAACCCGAACAACACAGTCAACAACAACTTCAACATGGCTCCGGAATCCGCGACGCGACAACAAATGCCAAACCCCAATGGGTTGTCGGATTTCAGCATGGGCATGGATGAAACGATGGACATGAACATGGACCTGGGGATATCGTTCGACGATCTTTTCGGCAACAATGCCACCTATCGACTCAACAATGCGTCGTCTGAAAGTTGAAGTAAATGGCTGAATGCAACGCGTAATCTGATTTATGATATTATCTGGCTATTATGAAAATAAACTATTATGAGAACTGAAATCTTGGTGCAGACTGTTGATACCTGGTTGGCGTTTTGGGTGTCGTAGCTATATACACATACAAAACATGTACAGTCTGAATCGCTGTCGATTTAAGTTCAAATTGATTCTGCCCATGACGTCTTATTTATAGCTTAGACTGCATACTTCGACTCATAGCTCGATAAACTCGAAGGATGCTCTTCGGGGTAGGGATCTGTTAGAGACCCTCAATGACTCGCCCATCTCAACGTCCTGACGCAAGCTCTCTCCTTCAACATGGTCCTCCTTAGCGCCAACCCTTTCTCGCACATATATCCAATTCCTATACGACCTGATCTCCACCGGCTGAGACGGTCAAATTAAGTTGATTCTCTTATCTCTTGCGATTCTCGTGGCTTCGGGCTTAGCTCACCGGAATGTGAGTATCCATGAAGCTGCTAGTTTCCCCTGCACTCTTCCCAGATCTTTTTATCCTCCTAACCCCACGCATTTTTCGTCCCACAAAATATCCAGTACATGAAAACAAGCTTTGGTGGGCTCAAGTCTTGCTGCACTCGTTATCAGGGATCTCGCTTTCGGCGATTTCTTCCGAGTTATGGCATAGAGCCACTTTGTTGTGGCCAGCTTGGCATCTGGGTTCCCCTTCAGACACCAGACAACTACAAAAGATTCATGCCTGTAAATGCTATCTTTTATTGCAAAAGGCTAATCAGCTGGGTATCATGAAAGGCAAAAAGGGACTTCCAGTACCACGTAATTGTTCCGAGGTTGTGACAGGCTGAGCATCTCGTCTAGCAACAGTGGCTGCCTGCAATTCCGCCATACTGCCTAGCCAGAAAGGCACGGGAGTCGGAGCCGAGGCATATCCTGTCTCAGGTTGCTGTCGCTCTAGCATTGCCCCGGATGAGCGGATAAAAGTGAGATAGTCTGACCGGCCCGGAACGGAAGGAAGCGTGCCACGCAGAATGACTCATACGGCATATTAATGAATTGCGATTCCTAAATTAGTTAATTCGCATAAACTTTGGTGGCTGTTTGCCCGGATTTAAAGGCATGTATGCCGTGAGCCGGAGATAGGCAAAACCCCGAACTGTATCTTCAACCAAGGTCATCCTGGTCAGCTTGTCGATCTAATTGGGGGCTGGCCTGGTTCACTGGAGTGTTTATTACCGGGGTCATTTACCCTGACTAGATCAATATCTTCATATGCTTTGGACGAAGACACCCCCAGACTGCAACCATGGCTTTGAATATTACGGTACGTCGGTGCAACCGGTCTCCGGAAAATGGCACTAATCAGTAGAAGACCTTCAACAACGTCATCAATAATGAGTTGACTTCCACGGCAAAAACCCGCCATGGGACCAATCCTGCAAACCGGCAGCCCAACCCTGAGGTGCCCGTTTCCACCGCCGAAGACCTCGATCGTGCCGTGACCGCTGCTCGCCAGGCCTTCCGTCAGTGGTCCAAGACCTCTTTCAACAAACGTCGGGCTGCGATCAAGGCTTTCGCCGGTCAGATCGAAGCGAATAAGGATGCTCTAGCGGCGCTATTGACCCAGGAGCAAGGCAAGCCCCTGGATCAGTCCCACGTGGAAGTGGGAAAGGCAGTCCAGTGGTGTCTCGCCCTAAGTGCCATCAAAATCCCGGAGACAGTGGTGCAGGATAATGAAGAGGCGAAGATCACCCAGCGCTATGTCCCGATGGGAGTGGCCGGTGCCATTGTGCCCTGGAACTTCCCCGTTCTTCTGGCGATTGGCAAGATCGTCCCTGCGATCTACACTGGTAACGCGGTCATCGTAAAGGCCTCTCCCTACACCCCATACTGCAGCCTCAAGCTGGGTGAGCTTGCCGCCCGCTGCTTCCCCCCCGGTGTGATGCAGGTCCTCAGCGGTGGGGATGACCTGGGTCCCATGATCACAGAGCATCCAGGCATCAACAAGATTAGCTTCACTGGTTCCATAGCCACTGGTCGGCGGGTGATGGCTAGCTGTGCAAAGACGCTGAAGCGAGTGACGCTCGAGCTTGGTGGCAATGATCCAGCCATCATCTGCGACGATATAGATATCGACGCCGTCATCCCCAAGGTAAACAAACCCGCTCTACCCGAGTCCACTTAACTAACTCCACAGGTGGCCATTCTCTCCTTTCTTTGCTCCAGCCAGATCTGCATGATGATCAAGCGTCTCTACGTGCACGAGAAGATCTACGACCAGTTCCGGGACAAGCTCGTGCAGTTCGTCCAGGCCCTTAAGGTGGGCGAAGGTACCGAGCCAGATGTCTTCTTCGGTCCAGTCCAGAATAGCATGCAGTTTGACAAGGCCAATGATCTACTCTGCAGTATCGCCTCTGATGGCCTCAAGCCCGTCCTGGGCGGCACCATCACCGACTCCAGTGGCTATTTCGTCACGCCCACCATCATCGATAACCCGCCCGAGACATCGCGCGTGGTGCAGGAAGAGCCGTTCGCTCCTATCCTGCCGATCTTGAAGTGGACCGACGAGGAAGATGTTCTGACACGCGCCAACGCTGCTGAGACTGGACTGGGAGCATCAGTGTGGAGTAAAGACCTATCCCGGGCGAAACGCATGGCGGATCAGCTCGAAGCCGGGAGCGTGTGGATCAACAGTCACTTCGATGTGACGCCTGAAGCCCCATTCGGTGGACACAAAGCAAGCGGTATGGGTACGGAATGTGGTCTTAATGGCTTGACGGCGTACTGCAACTCACAGACGTTGTGGGTCAAGAGTATGTGAAGGGCGGGGCATAGTTAATTGACGGTATCTCACTCCATGTTTTCTTTGTCTACTATTTCTATGACAGAATTTCCACATCGCAATTCATGAACTTCGTATCATGCCCAGCCTAGGTAACCCATATTTTGAATTGAAGTTTTATTTGACAGGCTATCGCTTTGTCCACCAGACCAACAACGTGCGTGCTCCACAACCTTGCAACTCCCTCGTTGCGCCTTGCGTTCGATCTCGCGTTCATCCATAGTAATGAGCTCGCTGCCACGAACCAGCAACCCAAGGAATCCTAAATCCGTTATAGTTGTCAAATGTGGCCCGAACCATTTTTTTTCTCCTGATTTTTGTAAAGATATGAGTCTAGAGTGATGATAAAAAAGTGTGAGCCATACCACTCCCACATTGTGGGGTCAGGTTCGCCAAACCAGAGCTTGCGATCGGGATTTGCGAAGTCCATTATCTTCCATCCATACTTTCCGCACCTGTCGCTCAATTTGGAATACATTTTGACCAATCAGTGACGAAAGACCTTCAACTCTAGGGTAAGGAACTTCGGAAGACAAAGTATTTGCCACCTAAGTCTGTTTGATGTAACATAATTCAATAGCCGGTAGGACTCGGTCTGAGAATTCATTGCTGTTTCCTTTCAACGTACAGTAATTAGCCGAGTAAGGTTGGGCTGGTAAGACGGCTATATAAAGACCCATGGAACCGGGATGAGTGTCCTCGTGACAAGATCAGGACACGGTAGCAAAGGGGCTGCCTGGAAATTTCTGAAGTGTCTGGATTCTTATCAACCTAGGAAATATGCCTGGTTGAATTTACAGAGGTCTGATTGTGTTTGATTGGAAAGGTGGATCGAAAGTAGAATGATACATAGTGTAGAGGCTGAGGCATACGATTTGATTTCGATCCACACCCTAGTCAGGTTTGACGAGAAGCAAAGTTTTTCTGAGTCAACCCAAGACTAGCAGGTTCGACTCAAGTCATAGGAGAAAGCTAGCTTCACAGAGACCGTGGAATCAGGAGCGAAAACCCCAAATCATTTCGACAACTGAGTTTCGAGTAACCATGGAAACGCTCGCTCGGTGAGAGAATGCGGTTGTTATAAATGATCTTCATGGAAAGCTTAATTACAAGCTTTTGCTCCATTGACTTTTTGGCGTTGGTTAAATCTGTGCCCACAATTTCAAGAGCATTGAAGGAAAATATTGGGGCACACTGACCACGATATAGACCTTTTCAGATATCAGTATTGTAAAGGACCAGAATCGTGTTTGAAATTGTAAATTTCTCTATCGCTAGAGTCATAGTAAAGATGCGCCGGGTGCTTGAAGATAGACTTTTCGGGACCGCAGATGGGCCGGCCCACAATGCCAGCTCCTGTCATTTTCGTGAGCCAATCGGGTTTTCGGCTTTCAGTGCAAAAGGCGGGGACCCGGTTACGTAAGCCATTGTGTCGAAGATTAGCATAGATTTTCATACGCTGTCTACTAGAGTTGTCAGACTGGCGATCGAATTGGAGCAGATAGGGAGAGGAAGTGTCGAGTTCGAAGAGGTTAAACTGATTAAGGGAAAGGTTGATGCAGGAAAATATGTATTGCTTCTAGAACGCGTTAGGCTAGATAGACAAAACAGCAACTTGCCATTCGACGGAGGACCAATCACTCTCTTGCGAGGGCAACTAGGAGAACACGACCGCGGTTCGGATCTCTATTGCCAAAAGTGTGTGATATTCCAAATGCCTCATCTGCCTCAACCGACCTCCCAAGCAACAAAGACCTGTTCCATCCGTACGCTGACGCCCCGTCAAGTCTAGGCTTGTGGGTCGTGTCTGGACCTTTGCAAACCCTTCCAATCTCTTCTCCAGGCCACAAATAGAACCTCCTTGATCTACTGTCCCGTGGGTCGTCGCTGGGATCTGCATTGCGGAACCGTACCTGCGTCTGTCTAAATTCACGCGCGGTGTTTGATTGGTCCGTTGGGTGCTATTTGTGTCCAGGGTCTCATCAATGTGACAGTAGCGTTCCAATCTGGCGAGGGGGTGGCGATCACGAGAACCTAGCTCGTGAGCCATGGTAGCTGAAATAATTCACTTCGTTGTCCTGGAAACTGGGCTCGGGTTCCTATTCTGGGCTTTCCAACAAGGTCTAGACTTTTTGATTCTCCGTCAAAGAATACAGCCAAC